TAATACGTCTCGACTTTCGATTGCATATCATATTATTGACTACACTTAATGTAGTAATAGTATATTATAACAACAGCTGGAATGATTGGCATCGGTTGTGACTACGACCTTTTAATATAACACATTTATCAATCACTCCATCATTTTCAAGCATTTGTATGCTATTTATTCATACGTCTATATGATATGCAAATTATAGCACCTTCATTTATGAAATAAATCCAACTTGCAATGGATTTTGGTCATGTTCATCGGTTGGTTCACCTCATTATAGACCAACGTATTAATATATTTGTTCATGAACGGTCATGTCCATACAAAAATGTACAGACGTATCTTTCTATGAAAAGTCACAACCTTCAAAGTGACATCATTTCATAAAAGAACTAAACAATATAAATTTTTCAATAAAGAAAATGATCTTTCGAGAAAGGCACGTGACCAACTTCCAAATTAGTAGTTTCCAACAACTAGTCTTTATTAAGACTAAACAACTGATGAATTTAACAACTACTATATCAATGAGGTTCAAAAATTATATCATTTAGACATTACGTCTAACATTGGCTTTTGTCATGCATAAGCTCAAAGTCCCCTCATTTTAAATATTTCATCAACATATCATCGACATATAATCAAATAATGACTATATGACTTAAAGTATTCTTAATGTAAACACATTTGTTTATACTCATTAATTTTTGAAACCATTTGATAATATTATTTGGTCAAATCTCGCATGTCATTGTTTGGGTGATGTTAACAAGTCGACACACCTTCTTTTCTTTTTCGGGAACCACGAACCCTTCAAGTTGTTCCATATAAATTTCTTCTTCCAAATCTTCATTTAAGAAGGTTATCTTTAAGTTCATCTGATGGATTTTAAGGCCATACACGGCGGCTAACGCTATTAACACCTGAGTAAATGTAATCCTCGTTACCGGTGAGTATGTATCAAAATAATCAAGATCTTCTCGTTGTCTAAATCATTTGACAACTAATCTTACCTTATATTTTTGAATAGTACCATCAACTTTCATTTCCTTTATGAAAATCCACGTAGAAGTCAAAGGTTTATTACCTGGAGGAAGATCAACCAATTCCCAAGTATGATTACTTAATATGGATTCTATCTCACTATTGACTGCCTCTTCTAATATTGTGCTTCCGAGGAAGAAAATATTTCTTTAAACGTTTGAGGCTCATTTTCCAACAAGAATGTCAAAAAATCCGATCCAAAGAAAGTAGTTATCCTTTGACGTTTACTACATCTTGGAATTTCCTAATTCAACGTACTTTCCTTTGCTTTTTCCCGATTTCGCTTAGATATTTCACTAGATGACTCACATTCCTTTTTATACGGATAAATATTCTCAAAGAATTCAGCATTATCTGATTCGATAACCGTATTAATATGAATGTCGGGATTTTACGATTTATGAATCGAAAAACGATATGCCTTACTATTTGTTGCATATCTTATCAAACGGAATCAACGGTGTTCGATCCGATTTTGGGTTTAAGAACTTACACTTTACCCAAATACCCCCCACACTTGGAAATATTTCAAGTGGGGTTTTCTTCTTTTCCATTTTCTTTTATATGGAATGGAATGTGTCTTGCTATGGGGTAAGTGAATGAGTATTCGGTAAGCTGTAAGCATAGCTTCCCCCCACAAGTTTTGGGTAAACCAGAACTTATCAACTAGGCATTCATTGTCTCCTTTGACGTTCTATTCTTTCTTTCCGTAATTTATTAGATTGCGGTAACTAAGGGGTGATCGTTTGGTGAATAATTTTATATTCCAAACATATTTCTTCAAAAGGAGATTCATATTCAACGCCCCTATTACGTTGTTGAGCCAACCACAAGAATTGTTGTTTGTGTCATGACATAGCCAGAATTAATAGACAACCGATCTTAGTTTCGCTTCAAATATTTGCCTTTATTATTAAATTTCTTAAGATTGTTGGTAATCTGTGTTCGAAATCAGAGAATTAGAAAAGCAGAGAAACATTAGTTTAATAAACAAAACAGAAAAAAATAATTCCGAGCCCACAAGTTGCTTGTGTGTCCTTAAGAAACTTAATCCCCTCACTGTTGCCCAAGGTTTTGGATTAATTCCTCCCAGGATAGAACGGAATAACTATTCTACAATACTGGCAATCGAAACTACAGAATTTCAGCGAACTCAACACACGGAACAAATCACACTTGACACTTGTGTTTATTTGAAAATAATGCAAATAGAAAAGAGGGGAGAAATTTTCAGATTTCTCCATATCTTAAAAATGAGGCCAAGCCTTTAAATTTATAGACAAAGGAAGGGTGAGATGGAGAGGTGCAATCCAAAAGGTGCCTCTTCCATTTCCCATTCACACCCTTTAAAGAAAAAACGCAACACTAGATGCTGCTACTTGCTATAACAAATTGTGAAACACTTCAAATATTCCATATATAACCTTTCAACAAGATAATATGAGCCCGTTTGGATTAGCTGATTTGAAGTAGCTGATGAGCATTAGGTGCTGAAAAGTACTTTTAAGTGTTGAAACTGATTTAATAAATAAGCAGTTACGTGTTTGGATATAAGTACTGAAATTGATAATAAGCTGCTACAATATTTGATAAAAAAGTGTTGATAAGCTCTTTTTCTGTTAAAATGACTTAAATAACCTTAGTTTTGTTTACACTTATAAGGGCGTAATTTTTTCAAAATTTTACATTCCGGAACGATTCAAATACAAAATATGCTGTTTGTCATTTTATATTAAATACAACTGTGCTTAAATAAGATAATTAATATGATAAATATAATTTATTTTATGATAAGCATAGAAGCATAAGTTATAATAATTAATAAATTAATTGACAAAAGTTTCTCAATAAAAAATAAACCTAAAGAGAACAAAATATTTGAAGAGAAACAAACATTGTCTTCATCACGGCAACACTTAGAAAGCAATACACCAAAAATTTGATATGTCCTCATTTATTACATACAGTTCAAGAATTAATACACAATCACATAGATACAAATATGCAAAGGAATAGAGAATTTGCTTGTCTTAAATAGTCAATNGGAAAAATAGAATGGTGTGCTAGGTTAATTTCTGTGAAAGGAAAATGGGATTCATGAAATCTTACATCTCTTGACACAAAAACTTTTCTTGTTGACAAGTCCAGTAACTTATATCCCTTTTGTTGGAGAGGATAACCAAGTAAAACACAAGTTGTTGCCCTCTCATCAAACTTCCCTCTCCCTTGAGCCAGTGTAGAAGCATAACATAAACAGCCAAAGTTTCTGAAATAGTCATACTTGAGTTTGTGTTGAAATAGGACTTCATATGGTGTTTTTCCTTGAAGAACTCTAGAGGGCAACCTATTCAGGATATGTGTAGCTGTCAGAATGGACTCTCCCCAATAGCACATAGGCAGTCTGGATTGAAACATTAGACCTCTAGCAATTTCTAAGAGGTGTCTATGTTTCCTTTCAACAATTCCATTTTGTTGAGGTGTTGCTACACAAGATAACTGATGTAAAATTCCTTCTGAAGCCAAAAAGGCTGCTTCCTGTGTCCCTTTCCCCAACTCCAGTGCATTGTCAGACCTTATCATCCTCACCTTCACATTGAACTGTCTTTCAACCATAGACAGGAAAGACTTGAGTATAGGAAATGCATTGCTCTTGGAGGATGGCAAAAATGTCCAAGTTCCTCTACTATAATCATCCACTATAGTAAGAAAATATCTAAAACCATTATATGTATTTGACTTGTAAGGTCCCCATGTATCTATATGTATGAGATCAAAAATGTGATTAGATTTAATAGAACTGACAGGGAAAGAATTCCTTGTCTGCCTAGCCTTAGGACAAACATCACAGATAAAATTAGAGTCAGAGTCACAATGAAGGAAATCTAAGTGTTTCATTGCTGAAAATGGAAGATGTCCCAACCTTACATGCCAAAGCTTAACATCAGAAATAGCATTAACAAGTACAGGACTAGAGAAAGACACAGACTCTGAAATGGAATTTCTTCCTTTTTGAATTGAAGATACATTACTACTGAACAGACCCTTAGACTTAAGACTACTAGGATCCAAAATGTAAAGACCCTCTCTAACTTCACCAAAAGCTTGTGGACTCTTCATTGAAAGGCCCTGCAACACACACCCAACAGATGTGAGTAAGACATCATATTTGAACTGTATGCAAAACCTATGAACTGACAGTAAATTGTACTTGAAATCTGGAACATGTAGGACATTATTCAGAACATGACCTGGGAGAATGGACACACTTCCTATATGAGTAACAATTACCTTGAAAGAGTTAGGTAAATTGATATTTAAAGGTACAGGAAGTTGAGTAAGAAACAAGAAAGAATTAGGATCAAAGCACATATGTTCTGAGGCACCTGAATCAATAATCCAAGTGTCTGAATTAAAAGTTGTAAACACTGAACCTGAGTATTTTAGAATAGTACCAGCTACAGCATTAGCATTAATTCCTGAGTTTCCTGCTTGTGTGAGTTTTGCCTGCTTGTACATGTTCACCATTTCTGCTACTTGCTCCTTGGTGAGTTGGTTCCCAAAGTTGTTGTTCTCAGCATTTTGTCCCCCCTGAGTTTCATGATCCTCATGTGTCAGGACTGCATTTCCCTTGATCTGATTCTGATAGCTCTTCTGATTAGTGAATTCAAAATCATCTGGAAATCCAATAATTCTATAACAGTCTTCTTGTGTGTGCCCTGTTTTTCCACAATAGGTACATGATATATTTGGATTGTACCTCTTCTTTCCTTTGAACTTCTGCTGTGGTTTATTGAATTTCTGTCCTTGATTATTGTACTTCTGTCCCAGTACTGTTCCCCTTTGTGTTTGATTTCTGTTTTTTGAAAGTTTCTACCCTGTCCTGCCACCATGAAAGCTGCAAAGTCTGCTATCAATTGGGCATTAGGTTGTTTGGCATCTCCAGCTGCCATGAATGAAAGTGATTATGAGTTGAAACTTGTATTAGCATACACTTCTCTTTGATTCTCATCCTGTAAGAGAAGTGAATAAGCAACATCTATGGCAGGCAGAGGATTCATCATGAGAATGTTTCCTCTTGCCTGTGCATAGATGTCATTTAACCCCATTAGAAATTGGATCAACCTCTGATCCTCCAGTGACTTAGCTAGCTTTGCCTTTCCTTCACAAACACACACACATGAGCAGCATATGATAACATTCAAAGCATCCAACTCATCCCATAAACGTTTGAGCTTAGTGAAATATCCTGCAATATCATTATTCCCTTGTACTAATCCTGTTAGTTCCTTTTGCAGATGGTATAGTTTAGCTCCATTTGACTTGCCAAACCTCTGCTCTAAGCTGTCCCAAAGCTCTTTTGCAGTCTTGGAGTAAATTACACTATCAGCAATGTCCTTTGAAAGAGCATTGAGGATCCAGGAGATGACCATGTCATTGACACAGTTCCATTGTTCAAGTTCTGGGGAGTTCAGATTTGGAGATTTGCAGACTCCATTGATGAAACCAAGCTTTTTCTTGGCTGAGAGTGACAAGAGAATGGATCTTCTCCATCCAGGGTATCCTCTTCCATCAAACACTGTGTTGACTAGAGTCATACCTGGTGAATCTGAGTTATTGAGATGGTAGGGGTGATTAGGATCATAGGTCACAGAGTTTGCAACATTGCTTGTTTCTGCAACAGTGGTGGTGTCACCCATCTTGTTATAGTGAAGATCTGATGTAAATGATGTAATTGACTGATTCTATTACTGGATCGAGCTACTCTGCTCTGATACCATGTAAGATTTTGAGGAGAAAGTTCTGAAAATCTGCAGCAGTGTATTTCATCATTCCTTTGTACATGTTTATATACAGTTGCCAAATAATCAAAAATAACAGAAAGAGAAAAAATCTATACACTTGTCCTAAGCCAATTGGCAAATTAGTAACAACTTATATTCCCTCACCTGCTATTCACGTGAGGGAAGGTTCAAGAATTAAACAAATCTAAAGGCTATTATTTAATCTATCATGTATGATCCAAGGGTTGTGCTTGTTCCACGTGTCCAGTCCTATTCAGCCACAAATATAATCTATCTCACTTAGATTATATCGAAACCCTTCTTGTCGGAACCAAATCCACTGTTAGACCATCTTCTTCTTCTTTATTTTGTCTTCTTCACCTTCATGATATGTAGAGGAACATCCATGGTGTTTAGAAATAGGCGAGGGTTTCTTCTTCTCAACAGTAAACATACATGGAAAAAATTACTTAATTGATCAATAACATTAATGAATATAAAGAAAATTTATATAAATTTGGATTTTTAATACCTGGAAACATATATATGATCTTTTGCAAAATTTTATGGAAAATCATATATATAGAAACTCCATGATATAGTTATATATTATTATATACTTCTTGGAAACGGGAGAGGAGAGTGCTCGACCACGAAATATGTATAAATGATGAAGAGACGTGCAGGATGGCACCATGAGATCAATATTTAGGAAAATCTGATCAGAATTTGGCGCTTTTGCTCTAAAAATGGAGAAAATTTCAATAGGGATACAAAAGAGCAAAAATATATGTTAATTTGATTCTTTAATATCGCAGCGTAGTTATAAATTCAATTTAGGGCCTCCCGTCATGAATGAAAACACATTATTTGGCCTAAGCCAACATAAAAAGATTTGAATCTTTCAGAGATCAGACTTTCATTAATTAATCCCCAGGCAACTATTTTGGTTGGTCACATTATGTAATATATGATATGTGGTACGCCAACATGATAATATGCACTTCAATGCTGGGGTTCTTGGCTCAAATTTTACAGACTTTATTTTAGACCATATTTACTTATTTTTTTGGAAGCTATAATTGGTAGATCTTGAAAGCAAGTACTTTCATGTTTATAGATCCAATTAGTGCAATACATTGACTTTTTCTTCTTTTTTGGTGGAATGAAAAAATTTTATTCATCGCCAGAACAAATACATTGAGGTAAAGCAAGGAAACATCTCTACCCTCTGACTATATATAATTCTATACTTATTCGTCTAGGCTCAAGTAAGTCTATTTTGTATCCTATACTGTACATGTATTATTTCTAACCTCTGTTTATCTATATATTTCTTCTATCCATCTTCTATCCTTGTCCCGCTTCTTTTTGTTGATTATTTCCATCACACGAACTTTGCATTCCTTTTTTATCTGGGCACATATATTGACTTTTTCTTCGTAAGATATGTTTACACCTAATTATACCATAAAGCAAGCTGGTGGGGCACTATGGATCTCTAGGGGAATTAAGAGTTCATAATACAAGTGGTTGCGATCAGTTTGAAGTTATACTTTACATCTGAATAATTAAGCAGCATTATATACTAAAAAAAAAGGACTCTTGATCCAATTATTTCCCTGTATATCCAGCGAGACCAATGACACATAGATCTGTTAGAATTAATAAGTTCATTAGCAGTTATAAGAAATTTGTTGCAAAAAAACTGTAAGGTATCAAGATAGGGGGGGTTACTGACAATATGACATCATAATCAAAATGGTCATGAACTTTGAAGTTTAGTAAAGGATGATTCTCAATATATCCAACAATTTTCTTGCTAATCAGAAAGAAATGATAATACAAACAAATTAGACGATACAACAACTATTACAAACCAGTTGCTCAATTTCACATTTATTTTTGAGCAACAATTTATCATGTTTATACTATTTATAAATTGAAGATTCAAATTGGTATACGTGGTAGTACGACACAACAAATTATATATTATGAAATAAAAATAAAATCAAAGACCAGAAGTGAATGGCACGTTGGTGGCTGGCAACCAAGAATTTCCAGCAATGAAATTAGCAGGGGTGAATTTGGATGCCTCAGCAGCACTAGTAATAACACGATAACCACCCCATTTAACCCTATTTGCAGTTGATGAACCAGGACCAGTGTTCAAGTATTCACCATAGTACAACGTCTTCAGCGCGAAGGTACCACTCCAAGGCATCCAACCATCTGGTTGAATCAAGCTATCAAGGAAAGTTTTCATAACAACAGTACGTGAATATTGTTTCCATGGCCTTCCTAAATACGTCTTAACTGAATTTTTAGAAGCCTTTAAATCAGAAGCAGCTGTGATTCTACAATTATGAATTGAAATTCCAGTGTTTTGGTTTGGATCAGTTCTCCCTTGTGCTGTCACAGTGTTGGTCTTGTTTGGTGGATCTCTAGCAAAAATGTTACAATTTTGTAACACAACTGCTGCGTTTCCGAATATGAAGTCAACTGTACCATAAATATCACATTCTCTGTAAAATTGTCTATCAGAGTGGACATAAAGAGTGTCTTGATATCCCTCAAAACTACATTGATAAAATACTGAAAGGTCTGAACCAGATCGAAGAGCAACTGCTTGGTGGTTTTGGGGGCCAGCAGTGTTCCTAATTGTTATGCCTCGACAAATAAATCCATCACCGACAACGGCTGAAATTAAAAAATAAAAGAAGACGAAATATCAGCAAATTAAATGCGCGTCTATACAAAATATAATACTAGTACTAATTAATTTTTCTCCTTTTGAAAGTACGAACCATGATACTTAACTGTCAAATCATAATTTTCAAAGGTCTAATACTTAGGCCGGCTGAACCAATTAGAGGGCTTTAAAGGAACGAAAGATACTAAAGTGGGCGTTTGGACATAAGAATTGTAAAATTCCGAAAAAAAAAGTAAAAAACAAAAATTAAGTGAAAATGGTATTTGAAAATTAGAGTTGTATTTGGAATGAATATAATTTTGGATTTTTTTTGAATTTTTGTGAGTGATCTGAGTGAATTTTGAAAAACAGCTTTTTGGAGTTTTTCAAATTTTCAAAAAATTACAAAATTCATCTTCAAGTGAAATTATAAATTTTATGGCCAAACACGAAAAAAAGTAAATTTTTTTCAAAAAAAAGAAAGTGAAAAATTTTCATAGCCAAACGGGCTCTAAGCTAGCTTTTGAACATAGATTTGGTTGAAACTTGAAAAAAGAGTTTTTAAATTATTGTTGAAAAATAATTTTTGGAAATTAAAATTGTGTTTGGACATGCGCTTTATTTGGAAAAAAGTTAAAGTTTTGTGAGTAGAAGAAAAAGATTCACCCAAAAACTGCCATAAACAACATTTTGGGAACTTGAAAAATCAAAATCAAAATTTTTCCAAAAACTAGTCACGTTCCATGACTAAACACTATTTAAACAAAATTGTCAAAATTATGGCCAAACGAGTGCTTATAGCCTTTGTCCATATGCACATCTAAGATTTTCCAATTCAAAGTTTTCATTTGTCAAGTACTTGAGAAAAAAAATTAAATAAAACATATACCACCTACATCTACTGATTATTACCGCGCGTTGCTCTCCTAGTTATGACTAAAATTCAACTGCCAGTAATTCAATTTACTCTACTTTTTTTCATTTTTGCGTTTTTTTTCAAGTTTGACCTAGAATTAATTACTCGATTAAAATGATTTGTGTAAATACCAAGTACAAATAAACCAATTAGATAAAGCAAAAGCTCATTCATTTTGTTTTTGTACTTACCAACAGTGGCTGATTTGAAAGTGGTGGATCCTCCTCCAACACTCTTGCTTCCTGTGATAATAGTCTTTCCAATTCCATCTCCAACCAACATTATATTCTTCAACTTTGATCCTAACTCCACATTTTCACTGTAAATTCCTGCCTTCACATATATCACAAACCTAGCACTTCCTTTCCTCTTGCCAGCAGCAGCAACAGCTTCTTTCACAGTCTTGAAATTCCCCGAACCATCTTTCGCCACCACTATATTCGCCTGAGAAGCTGGAGAAGATGATTGCAATAGTTTTCGATCACCAGGTGCAACCCAAGTTGGAAAACCATCTACTTGAGTTGCAGTTGGTTCAGTATAGTAACCATGGTTCAAAGACAAAGTGTTACTAATTAAAGATGAAACATTATTTGACATCAACGGCATCACATAATCCGTGACCCCAAGTTCTTCGAAACCAGCTCTGCATGTTTCGAGGTTGGTTAAGGCTGTACTTAACCATGATTGAGCATCAGCAGCTGTGCATTTAGTATTTGGACCAACTGTGCTTTTGATCTTGTGGATAGTATTTTCATATAGTTCAAGACAATCAGCCCATGCAGCTTTTTCCCGCTCGTTACGACATTTTGAACCTAGTGAATATGCGTTCGTTTGGGCACGTAAAGCACGGTCTAGGGCTAATTCTAGTGACACTTTGAGAAAATCGGATTTTTTGTTGATAGGAGTTGAATATTTAGGATTTTGTGTCAAGAAGTATTCACAAGGTTGTGGGTAAGGTGTTTGGATACACCAAGATTTTATGGCTGCCATAGAGTAGCCATTGGTGGATGGGAAAAAGAAAGAAGACACAAATAAAAGTGGGAAAATCAAATAGATATTGGACATTGTTAAGTATGTCATGTAATGAAGGAAAATAAGGAGTTTAATGCTAATATGTTTTTGAGAGACAATTGTGATTATATTTGCTGCCTTTTGGCTTCTTTATATAGATAATTAGATAGAGGGAAACAAGGGATGGTCAAAAACTAGGTTAGGTGCTGCGTGATGGGGGCGCACTATCCTTATTTCTTCATTTTGAGTTAAATTATTGATTCATGGTCAACGATAAGAATAATAGTTGGCAGGAAT